ACTGGAGGACAAAGCATAACGATGAAAATTTGGCTGAAGGACAAATGAGGGATAAATAGAAGTGATTTTGTCATTGGAGTATGCAACAGATCACTTATGTAGAAAGAAGAAATAAATGAGAAGTTTGGAAAAGCCTGCAGAAAGGTATAATATGGTAAGCATGGAGTCTTTACCCTGATATCTACTGGAGCTCTCTCCACTAAAAGCAGAGCAGCTAATAGTTTCTTGGTTTGCTGTAGTGGCAACTTCATCTTTCAAAATATGGAGAAACCAACAAGGGAAAATTTTATTCTGCATCTGATTCTCTCTAAGAAGGAGGAATTGGTTGCTAGAGTGGAAATGATTGAAATCTTAGGAGGAAAATGACCACTCCATCCTAGAGTTGATGAAAGACAAAGAAAGGAATCTAGACATAGTCTGACATGTACCCTAGATTTTGAGAAGGCAAATTTCTAAAGGCTTGGAGGAAAGATGGGTATGATGCCATAGATTACATCTGGGAAAGTCAGCCCAAGAATGAAATTCTGAAGGCACAAAAGGAAACAATTACAATGAAGAGGAAAAATGGTCTTTGTTCAAGGAGACCAATGTGATTAATAGGAAACTTACTAGCTTACTTAGATTTAAAAGAGAAATGTACAAATTATAGAAAAAAGGTCAAGTAACTACAGGTGAATATAAGAGCATGGCACAGCTTTGTAAAAAGATTATCATGAATGCTTTTTTTAAAAAAAGATTATAATGACCTTAGGTTGATGAAGGAATCTAAGAATAATACTTGACACTTATTTTGTTTTTTGTTTTCTCTGCTAAGGAGAATTACCTTTATGTTGAAAATAACAGAACAAAAATGGCAAACATGGAGTTGATACCCAAGAGCTAATGAAAAACTAAATTAGTGAGTAAGGAGTTAGAAACTAAGTAAAGAGTAAGTGAGAAAAAGTCTACATCTTATGGTTGTGAAAGAACTGCCAGAAATGATTGTTGAGCCACAGTCATGGATATTTGAAAAACAGAAAATGAGAGGAGTCCCACATGATTGGAGAAGGACCAATATCCTGATTTTCCCAAAAGGATGAGAATAGTCTGTCAACTCTATTAGACTAGTGACCTTGGCTTTGATTCTTGGGGAAATGATTAATAGCTAACATTCATAGAGAGCTTTTAAGTTTTGCAGAGTGCTTTACAAATATTATTACTTTTTAGCCTCATACCAGCCCTGGGTGGTAGGTGCTATTGTCATTTCCATTTTACAAATGAGGAAACTGAAGCTGAGAGGTTGTTACTTACCCAGGGTCACACAGGTAGTAAGTATCTGAAGCTACATTTGAATTCAAGTCTTCCTAACTCAGGATCCAGTGCTTCACCCACTGTCTCATCTAGCTGCCTCATTCTAGAAAGGATCATTAAAGAGATGGTTGGTGAACAACTAGAAATAAGTGTAGTGTTTACAAAGAGTCAAACATGATTTCATTTAGAATAGGTCATGCCAGTCTAACCTCATTTACATTTTTAACAGATTTACTAAACTAGTAGATGTAGGGAATTGCAGTGGATATGGCTTACTTATATTTTTAGCAACACTTTTTTTCATTAAATTTTATTTTCAATTTATGGAATAAAACAAACATTTTCATAGTATAGCATAGTACAACAAAAAAGATGATTGCATATGAAACTGCAAATCTACTATGCACAACTTGCTATGCCTTTCAAATACAACAAAATTATCATGTAAATTTCTTTTTTTTCTTTCCTCCCTCCAGATGGCTACCATTAAACACAAATGTGTGTGTGTGTGTGTGTGTGTGTGTGTGTGTAAAATTATTCTATACATACTTCTATTTATCAGTTCTTTCTCTGGATGCAGATAGTGTCTTAATATGTCCTTTATAGCTAATTTGGGTATTTGTAATAGTCAAAATAACATATTCTTTCGAGTCATTCTTAAAATACTGTTGCTGTTACTGTATATAATGTTCTCTTGGTCCTGTTCATTTTGCTCTTCATTATTTTGTGCACATCTTTCTGTGTTTTTCTAAAATGACTGAGCTCATCATTTCTTCTATCACAGAAGTGTTCTATCACAATCACATATCACAACTTGTTCAGCCATTCTTCAATTGATGGGCATCCATTCAATTTCCACTTCTTTGCCACCACAAAGAGAGCTGCTATAAATATTTTAGAACATATAGGTTCTTTTCCTTTTTTCCTAATTATCTTCAAAAGTAGGCCAAGTGGTGGTGTTGTTGGGCCAAAGGATATAGATAGTTTAATAACTCTTTAGGCACAATTTCAGATTGCTCTCCAAAATAGTTGAATCAGTTCACAATCAGATAACATGGAGAGTTATATATTATATAATAATACAACCATATGGATTCAGAACCCATTGGAGAGTAGTTGTTAAAGATTCAATATTAGTATGGCAGGAGTTCTCCAATAGAGTGATCTCCAGGTATTTGTGCTTGATCCTCTACAGTTTAACATTTTTATCAATGTTTTGGATAAAAGTATACAGATAGTATGTTTATCAAATTTGCAGATGACACAATATTAGGAGTAATAGCTAGCAATCTGCAAGCTCAATCTGAATCAGTAACCATGGTGGGGCATCCCTCTCTCTCTACCTTGACCCCACCAAAAAAAAAAAAAAAGCTAATGCAATCTTGAAGCAATATTAAGAAGGTCATATCTGGGGCAGCAAGGTGGCACAGTGGATAGAGCTCCAGCCTTGGAGTCAGGAGGACCTGGGTTCAAATGCGGCCTCAGACATTTAACACTTGACTCCTACTAGCTGTGTGACCCTGGGCAAGTCACTTAACCCTGATTGCCTCACCAAAAAAAAAAAAAAAAAAGGAAAAAAAAAGTAAGAAGGGCATACCTACCAGCAATAGGGAGCTAATGGTTCCACTATATTCTGCCCTTTTCAGACCTCATTTGTAGTATTGTGCTAAATCCTGGAAAATGCCCAGAAGAAAGCAGCCAGAATGGTGAAGGGACATGAATCTGTGACATGTGAGAACCAACTGAAAGATTAATTTTTATATGAAGAAAGGATTAGACTTGATCTCTTTGGCCCCACAGGGTAAAACTAGGAGTGATGGAAGGTAAAACTTCCTAATAATTAGAGTTGTTCAGAGGCATTGAACATTCTCAAGCAGTGGAAGTTTCTCTTCTCTTTAGAGGTATTCAAGCAAAGGCATTAGAATCTTTTTTTTTTTTTTGATGTGTTATAGTAAGGATTCCTTTCATGTATGGGTTGACTAGATGGCCACTAAGGTCCCAGGACAATTTTTTCTTTCCATCTCTATTTTTCATGCTTCACCCTATCCCAAGAATAATTTCTGTCTCACTTTAAGAGCTCTGTTTCACTCTAGACTGGACATAAATACAATCATCATTGTTACCCACGGACACTTTCCAAGGTAACTGCAATTCCCCAGTATATGGAATAGTACTACATTTGTACAGCATTTCCATTTCCCAATCTGGTGTTCCATGAGCATCCAATTCTAATAATCCTTATACATTTAGGCTACACTATACTCTGATATACCCTCTTTGAGGGGAGGAGAAGAAAGTATATAAATGCCACCTCCTACACAATACCTTTACAGATACCCCACCATTTGTAAGTGCCCTCTCTGAAATTACTTTGCATGTACTTTTTATGTATTTGTATTGATTCATCTCTATGTATCTATGATGTCTCTCTCCATCGGTATATAAGCTCTTTGAGGGCCAGCACATTATATAATAATATATATTGTGTTCCTCATTGCCTAGGATAGTAATCTTAATTAATACTTGATGAATGAAAGATATGTACTGAGGGAATCCCCCAACTCCCAAGGCAACTAATTTCACCTTGGGACAGCACTAAATATTATTAAGTTTTTGCTTATATCAAGTTTAAAATTGACTTTCTGGACCTTCCTTTGCTTGAAGTTTTGCCCTCTGGGTTCAAGCAAATCGAGTCTAATCTATCTCCCACATAAGAACTTTCAAAAACTTGAAGATTGTTATCGTGTGCCTCTTAAATCTTCTTTTCATTAGGTTAAATAGCCCCAGTTCCTTCAAGATATATGCCTGTGCGTACATGTGTGTATGTATGTGTATGTATGTATATCATTTTCTCAAGTCTGTACAGGGTCATAAGATTTGGTTCTGGGAAAAGGACCATAAAACTTAGCTAGTCTAATTCCCTCATCTCTCAGGTGAGGACGCTGGTGCTCAGAAAGTTAAACTCACAATTATTAAATAGCAGAGCCAGGATTCAAATCCTTGTCTTCTGACTCCAAAATCAAAGTTCTGGTCACTACATCACATTGCACTCCCATTTAATGGGGATGTGGGTTCTGACGAAGTAATAAAGTTGATATAAGCAGTATATAGAGAACCTGAACTACCTCCATTCAGTAAGTGTCTCAGAGCTGAGCCCAGCTTGTTATTGGGCTCTGGTACAGTCACAGAGCCCAAGCATTTTTCTGTATAGAAAGCAATGAAGAAGGGGGGGGGGTGTCGAAGGGGAACGGTTATTCTCTTTTTGCTTCTTACTTCCCGTCACGCGGTCTACTCACCCTGATCATTGCCAAGTTCCTCTATAGTTAGTCGTCAAGGTAGAATTTTACCCTTAGAAAAGAAAGAAGATGAAGGGTGAGATTTCCTAAGCTATCACTGTAGCTGGCTTCTATATAAACCCAGTAAAGAGAAGTTAGTGACCCAGGGGACAAAGCCTTACATTTCTGGCAAATTTCCCCATCTCCACCCTTTCAATCCTGACTCACCCACCTCCCTCCTCCCTGTTTTGCTCCGCCTAGCCCCGGTCCGTCCCGCCCCCCTTTAGGACCGGAGGTAAAGGATCAAAAAAAAAAAAAAAATAATGGTGAAAGAGTTGCTATGTTCCTCAAATCAGAAGGGACTGTTAAGAAGGAAGGAGGGGTTGAAAAGTTAACGGGGGTGGAGGAGGAGGGGGAATTGGAGGGAGAGAGAAATCAGGCTTTATTTAATTCGGAGGGAGTTGTGAGGGTGCAGTGTACTGCAAAGAAACCAGGATGCACAGAAGACACAATCCAGAGAAAAGTATGAATCTGTCCGTAGAGAGACTAACAGAAGCTGCTGCTATGGGTCGGACTGAGGTAGTAAGGGAGCTCCTTGAATCAGGCACTGACCCCAATGCCGTGAACCGCTTCGGCCGGAGAGCCATTCAGGTAGAGGGAAAAGGAAATGTTCGAGAATGGGGGTGGTGGAAGGGAGCTAGAAGGAGAGGGGGGAAGGAGTTTTACAGAGCTCCCTATAAAAGGGAATTCATCGTAGGCTTTAAAAAATGAAGTATTGATTCGAATTATTGTCAGGGGAAAAAGTTTAAAGAAATGGTAATTTTAAAAAAATGCATTCGTTATTGAGTGGTGTATGTTTTTAAATAATGAACTACATAGTTAAGGATTACAAATGATGAAATGTATAGCATAATTCTTGTATACATATAAATTCGTATATATATATACAAATGAAACATCTTTTCCTGATTCCAAACCTAAAATATTTGAAAATATAGTTCATAGGGGAGAAAATTAACAATGATAAATATAAAAGTTATTTTTTAAAGCCTAACTTATTGTGGATCTGAGGTGTGGGGTGGGGCAGTATGAAGATATTTTAGTTGCAAGATGGATGACAATGGTAAATGATCAAATATTGGGGGAGGGGCAGAGAAAATGCTTTCCTTTTCAAAATGTGACCTCGAAAGTAATAAGTGTGTGTGTGTGTGTGTGTGTGTGTGTGTGTGTGTCCCTGCATGTATGATTGAAGCTATCTCCAGTCTACAAAAGCACTAAATTTCTTCCACTTATATCTCCTGAAATCTAAAGATAAATTGTTACCCTTTCAGGATCCCAGGATTACGCTAGTCCAGAGTTTACTAATTTCGTGTGAAATTATTTCGGCCTCTGCCCGAGAAAACAGAGAATAAAAACAAACAAACAAACAAACAAAAAAAAAAAAACCAAAGACTCCCCCTCACAAATGAAACCTCTTTTTCCTGACTCCAAAACACTATAGGATAGAAAAATGCAGTTCATCGGGCACAAAATTAACAATGCCTAGCTTATTGTGGGTCTGAGGAGTGGGGTGGGGGTGAAGATATTTTGGTTTCTAGGTGGATGGATAATCAGACATTGGGGGAGGAGGAAATAAAATGCTGTGGTTATATTCGTTCCTTTTCAAAATGTGACTTCGAAAGTAATAAACGGTTCACCTTTAAGATAGAAGCTGTGTCTATTGTCTATAAAAGTATTTTATAGTTGTCATTTCCCACTTATAAATTATTTGTCCCAGTAAATGCAGGATTTTAAAATGTGTCTATATATTTTAATATTTTAATATTTTAAGTATGTCACTGAAACAAAATGGTGTGTTTCTTTTAGAAATAATTTTTTTGAGAACTTTGAAAAATTGCTTTTGAAAAAAAGGAAAGTGAAGAACAGAAAATGGCTAGGTTTGTGTTTTGAAATAATTGATTAAAATACAATCTTCAAAAAGGCTATATTTAAATGGCCTTTTTGAAAAGTAGGCATCCAGAACTTGGATACAATCCCTGTGGTCAGCTTTTTGGATTCAGACAAGAGGTAGAGCGGGTTAGAATTGGCTGCTTTCTACATTGTTGTAAGCAATTAATGAAAGCAAATATCTTTTGAGTTGTTTTTAGACACTTCGAGTTTTTAAAAAAAAAAACACTTCCAACAAATATTGTATTGTTTCTCTCTTACTTATGAGGTGATTGAATTACGACATCAAATATTTTACATGATAGTAATTAAAGCATAGCATTTTTTTCCTTGAATATCTAATTGGGTTCCCCTAGATTACCACCTAGAATTGTTGAAGAAAATTTTAATGAAAATGTTCAATAATTTTACTATTTCCAATGAATGTCTAAATGAGTATTTTCAACAATTTTACTACTATTTGCAATGAATATTCAACTCCTTTAGTATAATTTGTAAACCATTTGGGATTTAATTGGTATTTAAATATGCAAATTAAAGTATTAAGGGGGTTGGATTTGATGGTCCCTAAGATTTGGTCCAACTCCATATCCCCAAATCTCTTGATTTTTGTAGTTGTTGTTATTTGTGAGTATTGTATATATTACAATATTGTATATATACAATATAATATATATATTGTAGTTGTTGTTTTGTGAGCTGTGTATGAGTGTTGAAGTTAAAAGCTACAAAACTGGTTTGTAAATGAACTCATCAAGCTAAAATCCATGAGTATTGCCCTTAAACTTATCACCTGGGGAGGTGATATTTATTCTATTGATGTGGCCATAACTCAAAGCACTTTTCTTTGGAAATTATTTTTAAAGACAGTTTACAAGTCTTATGCATCATAATCATTTCTGCTGTCTATGAAATAGATGTGTGCCTGGGATAAGCCAAACTAGCTGAATAATAAAAGCTAAAGTAAGCTAGGTTTCTTTCTAAGTTTCAGGATTTCCTTTTTTAAAATCAGATACCAAGACAAACACCAGCTGTAGCAGAGCTCAGAACTTGAACAGCCATCTGCTGCATGAATATAGCAAAACCCCAAAATTCATCTTGCAACTTGCTATTTATGAAAAAATTATTCAAATTTTAGCATTTTCAGACTTTTAAAAAATATTAGTTTTACTATCCACCCTCCATTATAATAGCCACCCTCTATTATAATAGCCAGCCTATTTTCCAAACGTGTGCCACTTGTACAAATGCAGTTATTTTCAAATGTATAAAATCACAACTGGGACAGTATATTTTTATTTGAAAGTTCCGCAGAAGAATTTGACTATTGCAGACCTTCATATGCAAGCCATGACAAGTCATTTTTTTCTTCGAAAAAATAATTAAAGCCAATTTTAAATGGGGTTACCCACATATCAGTGCAATACAGTAAAAGTCAGCATAATACCATAATGTATGTATTTGACAACCGAAAAATAAATTACTTCAAATAGTCTCGTATCTGCTCTGGCCTCATACTTCTATTTCATGGCCTGAAAGCATTTGAATGGCTGGATTGCGGAACATCCTTGGGATAAGGAGTTTCACGTTAGGACTTAGAAGTCCTCTAGGGTTGGGATTCCATTTATTAACAAGGAAATTGGAGCCTTAGAGAGTAACTTGAATTATCTTAGACCATAGGGGTAGTAAGTAGCTGAGCCTGGATTCAAATGCAGATTCTCTGACTACAAATCTGTGGTTCTTTTCACTAAATTTTAAACTGAATGTAATTCTATTTACATGAATCTAGATTCCTCAAGGACTCAATAGTCTGATCTGTTTTCAAGAGCCCTACACCTTCCAGTTCCTGTAAGTGTGATGAGATCTTGGGGGCAATTCTTTGCCACTTTAATGGTTCTGTGATCTCACCGAAGTGTATTCTCTTCAGTAAGGCTAATTGGAACTAATTCATGCCATCTTATCTAATATTGTCTAGGCAACTCAGAGAGTGTTGTCACATCAAAATTAAAATTAACTAGCATCTTTGTTCTGAGTTGTAAACAACGCCTCAAGCAAATACGTTTTCCCCGCATATATCCATGCTTAAATTTACTTCCCCTTTCCCGTTTTTTTATTGTAGTACTGACTTTTCCCAACTTTCTCCCATACACGCTAAGAGCTGTGCGATGCCTCACCCCATCCGTAAATTAAATTCGACTTAATTTTTTTTCCAAAGCACCTTTTTGTATATAAGACACTGTGTTAGGTGCTGGGATACAGAGATAAATAGTACATAAACCTCACTTCTTGCGCCTTATCGTGGGAATTTTCCCAAGCTGCCTTGTTAATGTGTCCAACCCTGCCATTTGTTCTCTAGGTCATGATGATGGGCAGTGTGCGCGTGGCAGAGCTCCTGCTGCAGCACGGAGCAGAGCCCAACACCCCAGACCTGACAACCCTCACTCTACCAGTCCACGACGCTGCCCGGGAGGGCTTCCTGGACACCCTGATACTGCTTCACCGGGCAGGGGCACGGCTGGACGTCAAGGACGCCCTGGGTCGCCTCCCCTTGGACCTAGCTGAGGAACAGGGACACCACCTCGTGGTCACATACCTGCGCGAGGTGGTGAAGGGAGGAATGAAATCCACGACCCGGGATGTAGAATAGGATCCTCCAGGTGAGGCCAAAATTAAAAAAAAAAAAAAGTGTTTACGGAACCTCTTTGGTTAAGACTGCCATTGCTTTTTCCCTTTCCTAGGACCACCATTTATTAAGTATATATAAAGTATAACATATATTAAGTATATTAATATATTAAGTGTAATGATAACTGCCATTTATGTAGCTCTTTAAGGTTCGCAAAGCGCTTTACAAATTTCTCATTTGTTTCTCACAAAAACCCAAGGAGGTAGGTGCAATTATCCCCGTTTTACAGATAAGAAAACAACCTGAGGGAAGTTAATTTTATTTTATTATCATTTGCCCATAGTCACATAGTTTGTAAGGGTCTTAAGCCAGATTTGAACAAAAGTTTCCCGGACTTCAGGTCCAATACTCTACCCACTATAAAATATAGCTACCGTGGAATGCACGCAGGTTGCTTCTGTGGGTGCTGAGGTCAGGTGTGTTCAGAATTGAGTGCAGCCAAAGCAGAAATAATACAATTCCTTTTCACAAATATGTTAGGAATCTATTCCATGTAACAGATGATTTTTAGAGATTGTGGGGAGTAGTGAATAGAGAACCCTGTTTCAAAAAGACCTGGGTTCAAATGCAACCATTAAAAAAGACTCAGTGACCGTGCTCTAGTAACTTCTAGTTACTAGTTACTAGTCTAGTAACTTCTCCATGCCCTCCAGGCAGCGCTCTAAGACTATAAATTGCAGCTCTTTTACTTTGGTAGATTAACTTCCTCAGCGAAAATTTCCTTTCAAGGTCTGTCCCACGTCCTCTCCACTATAGAAATCCCAACTAGTGTTTCCCAGAACCGGTTTTCCCTGCCTTGCATCTTCCTTCCATAGCTGTGCACAGTGAGCGGATAGATTCTATGCTCTTCGCAAAGTCGTGGAAAGGGATCTGTAGCAGAACCGACACCGTTTGTAAAGCCGAGAAGAAGAGAACTAGGTGCAGCTTTTCCCCGGCCCTTCTAAATCAGCATCCTTGGTTTTGTCCGCTTTCCCCCAATGACTAAGTGGAAAACTTCACAGTGGGGGTGGGAGGATCCATAAAGACGCATAGCCCACAGAGGGACCGCTATCTAACTGAAGGACGAAGAGCTGCTCCAACTCAAGAGCAGCAGTTAGGGACGCTGTGCTCTGTTAGAAACCAGGATTCTCTTATTGCACTGGAGGGGATAGCGCGGGGGATGGCGGGGAGAGGCAAGCTTCGGAGCAGTGGCGTGCCCTATGGCAATTGTTTATGAGCCGCTCTGGTTGGTCAACCACCTACTCTGAGCCAAGCATGGTGCTCAGCGCTGAGATTACCCCACCACCTCACTACCTAATGTAAAAAGCTCTGCCCTTAGGGAGCTCATAGTTTAATGAAGGAGACAACATTCAAACAACTTTGCACAAATAAGATATATACAAGATAAGTTGGTGATAATCAACAGAAGGACAGCCCAAGTATGAAGAGGAATTCTTAGCAGGACACCGACACTGATATATGCAGTAGTCCGTAGATGTTTTCAAATCCCGTGAAAAGAAAATGACTAGCTCCTGGCAGACAGTAAGAAGAGCTAGTATGAGTTAAATGAAAGCTAGTTCTTTGTAGTACTTTTGAGATTTTGAGAATTGGGATGGCATGAGGAATGGCTGTTAGTCTTACGGAGTTTTCTTAGACTGCTCTTTTTCTTTTGCAGATTTCGATATTCTCCATAAACTTAGAAGGCTTACTAGAAAGTTGGAAGACTGAGGCCCAACAAAGGGGTTCCTGCCCTGCAACTTCAAAAGGCTTAGTTCTACATACTTATACTGCCTTGCTTTGTCTTCAGCTAAACCTCGCTTAGCGTTTCCATACTTGGTCGGGGTAATTTTTAAATAAACTTGCTTCTCTCTGAGGCCCTGAAACAGCAGTCTCTATCATTCTTACTTTGGCAGCCGCCCAGTATACAGTGGTTGGACTCAATAAGTGTGTGTGTGTGTGTGTGTGTGTGTATCATTCAGTCTTGTCCTACTCTTCATGACCCCATGGACCATGGTACATGTTGTTTTCTTGGCAAAAGATATTGGAGTGGCTACATTTCCTTCTCCAATGGATTAAGGCAAACAGAGGTTTGGTTAAATGTGTGAGGTCAAATTTGAACTCAGGTCTTCCTGTCTGCAGACCAGTGCTCTATCCACCCAACCACCTTCTAGGCACAGAGGTTAAATGACTCGTCCAGGGTCACACAGATAGTAAGTATTCTGAGGCTGGATTTGAAATCAGGTCCTCTTAATTCCAGTCCCAGTGATCTATCTATCAGTGGATAGAGCCATCTAGTTCCTTTATTTATATAATAAACATTAAAATTATTTCCTTGTCTTTTAAATTTGAATTATTTGTTAGGGTTTTCTTGCAAAGAGGGTCATAGACATCAGTCTTTTCTTTGCATTCATTTTTACTCAGCATTTATTTTTTTAAAAATTTATTTAATATTTTATTTTTTCCCAATTACATGTAAAAACAATTTTTAACTCATTCTTAAAACTTGGAGTTCTAAATTCTCTCTCTTCCTCTCTCCCTACCCCATGCCCCTCATGGAGAAGGCAAGCATTTTGATATATGTTATATGTGTGTGGTCATGCAAAACATTTCTGTATTAGTCATGTTGTGAAAGAAAACATAGGTAAAAAAAAACCTCAAGAAAAATAAAGTTAAAAAAGTATGCTTCAATCTGTATGCAGACATCATCAGTTATTTCTTTGGGGATGGATAGCATTTTTCATCATAATTCTTTCAGAGTTGTCTTGAATCCTTGTATTGCTGAGAATAACTAAGTCATTCACAGCTGATTATCTTATAGTATTGCCTTTACTTTGTACACAGTACATTTCACTTTGCATCAGTTCATTCAAGTCTTTCCAGGTTTTCCTGAGAGTATCTTGCTCATATTGTGCTCTTATAGCACAATAGTATTCCATCACAATCACATAGCACAATTTGTTCAGCCATTCTTCAGTTGATGGGCATTCCCCTTAATTTACAATTCTTTGCCACTAGAAAGGAGCTGCTATGAATATTTTTGTACATATAGGTCCTTTTCCATTTGTGGTTTTTTTTTTAATCTCTTTAGGGATACAGACCTAATAATGGTATTGCTAGGTAAAAGGGCATGCATGGTTTTATAGCCCTTTGGGCATAGTTCTAAATTGCTTTACAGAAAGGTTGAATCAGTTCACAACTCCACCAGCAGTGCATTAATGTCTCATTTTTCCCACATCTCTCCCAACATTTCTCATTTTCCTTTTCTGTCCTATTAGCCTATCTAATAGGTCTGACTGGTAGTACCTCAGAATTATTTTAATTTTTGTTCTCCAATCAATAGTGAATTAGAGCATTTTTTCAAATGGCTGTATGATAGCTTTGATCACTTCATCTGAAAATTGTTCATATCTTTTGATCATTTATCAATTGCGAATGGTTCTTACTTTTATAAATTTGACTCAGTTCTCTATGTATGAGAAATGAGGACTTTATCAGAGAAACTTGCTTCAAAATTTTTTTCACAGTTACTATTGCTAACCATTTCCCTCCATCCTATCCCCCCCATTTATGCTATTCTTTCTTTTTACCCTGTCCCTTCTCAAAAGTATTTTGCTTCTGACTACCCCCTCACCCAATCTGCCCTTCCATCACCACCCCTTCTCTTATTCCCTTACCTTACTACTTTCCTGTAGGGTAAGATAGATTTCTGTACCCAACTGAGTATGTATGTTATTCTCTCTTTGAGCCAATTCTGATGTGAAGTCCCTCCTCTTTCCCTCCACTGTAAAAACATTTTCTTGTCTCTTTTGTGTGAGATAATTTACCTCATTCTACCTCTCCCTTTCCCTTTCTTCCATCACATTCCTCTTTCACCCCTTAATTTTATTTTTTAAAGATGTCATCCCTTCTTAGTCAACTCATATCTGTGCCCTCTGTATATTTATACTCCGTCTTATTACTCCACTAATGAGAAAGTTCTTATGAGTTACAAGTATCATCTTCCCATGTAGGAATGTAAACACTTTAACATTATTGAGTCTCTTATGATTTCCCTTTCCTATTTATCTTTTTATGCTTCTCTTTAATCTTGTATCTGAAAGTCAATTTTTCTATTCAGCTCTGGTCTTTTCCTCTAGAATGCTTAAAAGTCCTCTGTTTCATTGCATATCCATTTTCCCCTGAAGAATCATACTCAGTTTTGCTTGGCAGGTGATTCTTGGTTTAATCCTGGCTCCTTTGCCCTCTGGAATATCATATTCCAAGCCCTCTGATGCTTTAGTGTAGAAGCTGCTAAATCTTGTGTTATCCTGATGATGGCTCCATGATACTTGAATTGTTTATTTCTGTCTGCTTGCAATATTTTCTCCTTGACCTGGGAGCTATAGAATTCGGGTGTAATATTCCTGGGAGTTGTCATTTTGGGATCTCTTTCAGGAGATGATCAGTGGATTCTTTCTGTTTCTATTTTACCCTCTGGTTCTATAATATCAAGGCAGTTTTCTTGATAATTGCTTGAAAGATGATGTCTAGACTCTTTTTTTCATCATGGCTTTCAGGTAATCCAATACTTTTTAAAATTATCTCTCCTGGAACTATTTTTCAGGTCAGTCATTTTCCCAAAGAGATATTTCATATTGTCTTCTATTTTTTCATTCCTTTGGTTTTGTTTTATTGTTTATTGATTTCTCATAAAGTCACTGGCTTCCATTTGCTCCATTCTAATTTTTAAGGAATTATTTTCTTCCATAGTTTTTGGACCTCCTTTTCTATTTGGCCAATTCTACTTTTTAAGGAGTTTTTTTTTTCTTCAGTGAATTTTTGTAACCTCTTTTTCCATTTGGTCAATTCTGCTTCGCATGGCATTCTTTTCATCTTTGGCTCTTTGTACTTCTTTTACTACTTGGCCTATTCTATGTTTTAAGGTGTTACTTTCTTCAGTATTTTTGTGTCTCCTTTACCAAGCTGTTGATTCTATTTTTTTTTCATGATTTTCTTGCATTACTCTCATTTCTCTTCCCAATTTTCCTCTACCTCTCTTATTTGATTTTCAAAATCCATTTTGATTTTTTCCATGGCCTGAAACCAATTCATATTTTTCTTAGAGGCTTTGGATGTTAGAGCTTTGACTTTGTTATCTTCTTCTGAGTGTGTGTTTTGATCTTCCTTATCACCACAGTGACTTTCTATCATAGGAAATTTTTTTCTGTTGTTTGCTCATTTTTCCAGTCTACTTCTTGACTTTTAATTCTTTGTTGAAGTGGGGCTTTATTTGCAGGGTGGAGGGTACACTGTCCCAAACTTCCAAGGTTTTCGGCAGCTGTTTTCAGAGATACTTCTAGGGACCTGTAAGTTTTCAGTTCTTCAAAGATGGTATGATCTAAGGAGAGACGTATTTACTACTCTCCTGACCTGTGCTTTGATCTGTGAGTGACCACAAGCACTCTTTTCTCTTCTGGAACTGTGACATGGTTCAGCTTCACTGAAGCTACAGGTTCTGCTGTGCTAATTCTTCACCTCACCCTGGGTCTGCCACCCGGGCCTGCAACCCAGATCTGAATATGGGCAAAGCAATAGAGCCCTGCTCCCAGTGCCAACAAAGAGACTCCTGTAATCTCCTTCTGATCAGTTGTTTGACCCCCTTACCATCTGTGGACTGAGAGCTCAGGAAGCAGCTGTTGCTGCTGCTGATTCAGTGACTCCCAAGGCCTGCTCCTTGTTTGCTGGCTCTGGGTCTGTGCTGGTGAGACCTGCAGTAAACTGTGCTTCCCTCTCACTCATGTATGATAGACCTTTCCTGCTGAGTTTCTAAGTTGTCTTTGGCTGGAAAATTATTTCACTCCATCCTTTTGTGAGTTCTGCCACTCCAGGAATTGTTTTATGTCATTATTTAAAGGTGTTCAGAGGGATTTTGGGGAGAGCTCAGGGGAGTCACTGTTTCTCCACCATCTTGGCTCCACCACCCCTTCATGCAACTTTCAGCATTTATTAAATATCTACATTTTACTAGTCCTGGAGAAGATGCAAAGATAAAATTTGGTCCTTCAGTTCACTTAAATAAACATTTATTAAGTGCCTACTCTGTTCAAGGCAAAAAACTACAATCTTGCCCTTAAGTAGTTTATCTTCTATTGGGAGTACAGATCTTTCTCAAGTAAGTAAATACAAAATAACTTCAAGAAGGAGATAATGCCAATAGCTGGGGGAATCAAAAATGTGTTGTGTAGGCTGTGATATCTGAACTGTGCTTTGAAAGCAGATGGTGATTTTAGGAGTGTGAGGTGAAGAGGGAATGCATGCTAGGCAAGGGAGATGCCTGTATAAATCACTGAGGCAAGAAATGGAATGTTTTGTTTGATGCACAACCAGAAGACCAGTTTGTCTGGAGAGGAGACTGCAAGAAGGGGAAGAGTATGAAGAAAGACAAGAAAAGTAATTAATATCCTGATTGTAGAAGACTTTAAATGCTATGTGGAAGATTTTGGACTCCTAGGGGCAAGAGAGGTAGCTTGGTGTTGGCCTTGGAGTCAGGAAGACCTGGGCTCAAGTCCTTCCTTCTGACTCATACTTGTCATACCCTGGACAAGTCACAGCTTCTCAATGCTCCCAAGAGGCACCAAAATTCCCAGGAAGTTCTTAAGATGATCAAATCCAGAACAAGTGCTGATTTCTTGAATTAAAAACACAGGCAGATGAGTCACCATGACCAAAAAGTTCAGAAAGCATTGAGCTTCCTCACCTCACTCCTTTTTTTGTTATCTGATCAAGTGTACAATTGCTCTATTTTTTTTTTCAAAGACATTCCCCTTCTCAACTCATACCATGTAGCACCACTTGTATTCAGCCTCTATGTGCTGGGCAGGGCAAGTAGAGGTGAAGTTGCGAG